CTCTCCGTGAAAGGACCTGAGCCCCGGGCAGCCAAGTGCGCAGCGAGTGCTGTGCGCTGGGTATTTATGGGGTGCTGAGCCCTGCCAAGGGGAGCCCTGCTCCCAAAACCACCCCTGCCAATGAGTGCACCCTGGGAACAGAGCAGGCTTTCACAACTGAAATCCTCCCCGGGCTTTGAGAGGTTTTATCTTGCCGTTCGCACAAAAAAGGGCTTTGAATTTTTTTCCAAGACCTAAATTCTTCCCAAGCAGAAGTCAAGGGGGGGGGGGAAAAAAAAAAAACAAACTGAGGGGGAAAAAAAAACCCAAACCAGAAAGGAGTTGCACCGGGTGACATGCCGGGCGCTTGGCACAGCCACTCTGCTCTTCACCGATGGGCCCTGTGCCACAGGGAGACCTTCCCAGCTCCACCACAGACCGAGGGCAGCAAGAAACTGCTCCTTCCTGCAAAACCATTTTGATCCCATGTAACAGAGCACTCCTCTGCACCCACCCACCTGCAAAACAAGGATCAGTCCTTCACCTAGAAACGACATGACATTAGAGATACTAAAAAATAAGATGGCAGTGTCAAATATTATCATTCCTACCTCCCGTACACATCAGCCACCAGCTTTCTCCTCCATCCTGAGCTTCTGTGCAAGACAGGATGCTTTGCAAGCTTCAACACGTTGGTACAAGTACAGCAAGACTAAACCACTACCCACCAGCCAGGAGGGCATCAGGGAGCATCATCATCTGTGATGGCTGCTCTTACTGTCGCTGTACATTGCCATCTGCTTATGGCCATTGTTTCCCCTCTCGTCCTCCTTGCTTTACTTCAGTGTGTTTCAGTACGGTGGCACATGCCAGCAGCTCTAACTGCTGCATAAGGCAGATTTCTTAAGTCTAATGCACATAAAGTAGGTTTTTTTGGTGGATTTTTTTTTTTTTTTTTTTTTTACATGGGGTGTTAACAGCCCTACACACTTAGAAAGATGTCAAACTTGATCATTGTTTGTTTTATAGGCAGCACAGCAGTCGCTGTCAGAGACTACCCAAAGATAGCTTTAAAAAAACCTGCCTCTGGTAAGAGTAGATGTTTATGAAAACAATGGTGCTGTAAGGAGTCATTTCAAAGATTAACGAGATTAGAAAGATTACTGCTCTCCCCCTCACAGGTAGCCCATAGTACAGGATGAAGACATTTTATAATACCACGTACCTTCAGGCACTCCTCCCATACAAACAGAAGTGATCAAAACAGTGGTGAAAGGAGAAAATTAGACATTAACTAGCCCCCGTGTTAGATCTGCTACTACAACCATTAAGTGAAAGGTTGGCTTCCTTCTCTTGCATGTTTTCTCTCTTTCTTTCTTCTCTTTACAAGATAGAGTATTTCCTTTTGGACTGAGGGGTCATCTAAGGCTTCTAACCAAAAAAAAGATACTGAGTTGAGCCTTCATGAGCTCTTTCTCACCAAGGCCTCCCATTAACCCTTCACATTAAACAGCCTTAATTATATGGTAATTTGTCTGCGGAAGCATCCTAGCAACAAATATATTCAATATAAACTTCAGTGCAAACTCAAGGCTTCTTAGCAGTGCAACTAATATGGAGATTTTTAATTAACCCCAGGATAAGGACTCAAAACAGCGTCCTAATCTTTGATGCCATGAAAATTCATTGTTTCCATAGTGACAGCGTCTTCCCAGGCCCCATCCTCCTCCAGTGGCTCAGAGGGCAGAGATCCAAAAACATCCCTGGCCCCACACACCAGCAGCCAAGTTTTCCTCTTTCTGCATCTTACCAGCACTGAGCATGATCCAGCCCTGCGGACTTGGTGGCAACAGTTAGAAGAAGGATGGGCCACCACAGGCAGCCTCCATCCAGCCCCTGCGGCTCTCCCCCCTTTTCACTCACCATTGCCCGGATGGCGTCTGCCTGCCAGGACTCCCTCCCCAGGAGTCAGGGCCAGGAGTGATGAGCCAGATGAGCTGCTCACAGATAGCTCTGGTTTTAATGCTTTAGACTGGGAGGGGAAGATAAAATTCAAAGAGCATTCTGCTATTACACTTGTGCTGCAGAGCTTGGAGGTGTTCAAGACTCAACACTGCCCCAGGTAACCTGATTTAATTAGATCCATTTTAAACAGGGTTTGGACTAAATGACTTCCGAAGGTCCCTTCCCACCAAAATTATGATCCTATGATTTTCAGTCTTTCCCCCCCTCCCCTTAAAGTATTAATTTTGCCACTTCTATCTGTCTGCTGCCCACATGCAGTTAAATTTGGAGTACACAGTTGCATCATGACTCAATGCTGAGATTAGCCATTAACATTTTGTCCACGTAACTTCCTGACTGTTTTCTACCAGTTGCTTTCTTGGAATCACCAGGTGCCACTGCACACCAGCCAGCGTTAGACCAGACAACTTCTGGTTTGACACCAACACCAAGAACAGCGTAAGACAGCATATAACCTACCAACGCATTATAAAACTGTTCTTCCTTGCAACTAATACAACTAAAAAGGAGTTATTGGCAGTAATTAGCAGAAAAGGTGCCGCTAAGTACAAGCAGCAGCATCTCATCCCGCCTTTCTGTGCAGGAAAGGGAGGCAACAAGTTTATTTACCTCCGACTGCCAGCAGACCAGGTGGTATTGCAGATGGCAATCACAAATAGCAGCTCTAGAACACTTAAGCAAAAGAGAAGAGAGTTTTGGATCTGTGTATGCAAAACAGTAAGTACATATTCAAAACCCAAATAGCCAACCATGCCAGTGCATCTGAATCGGCCACACGCTGAGTGAACAGCTTCTCATTTGCCCAAGACAGTATTCACGAGAGCTAGAGTTGGAAATTACATCTCTGCTGAACATGTTTTTAAATAAACGTAGTCCATTTTAAGTGGGTTTAAAAAAAAAGTCTAAACAGTTTGAGCTTGATTTTTGCATAATAAAAGTTAAACAGCCACAGTGTGTGCGTACGCGCACACAGTCTTTTATAAGTAAGAGACGGAAAATTGAGAACCAGCCCCTAAGCCCCTCGCCCACCCCAGCCCACTGCCTCAGAGCAGAGAAAGGGAGCAAGGCCCAGCAAAACCGTTGGCTAAGCCCCCAGCACGGAATCCTCACTAGCAGCACATATGGTTCAGTGCTGGACCGTGACAGCATTTTCTCCTCTCGAGTCAGTGTGAGACAACCATGAATCCTTCTTGCAGCGCCAGTTTTCAGAACAAAACTATACTTCAGGGAACAGGCAGCTCTGCTACACCACATTGTACACAACTGATGGATTACCGGCAACTGCGAATTCACTTCGGATGAACTGCTCCCCATACAGAATTGTAGTTTTTGCAATATGAAAAAATCATAAAAAGCTTCCAGTAAAAAAATTCACTCAAGAGAAAACAATAGCTCAAAGCAAGGTTTAGATTAAAATTAAGTTTATATCTGTCATTCATTTGGAATGTTTTAATTGTCCCGTAGCTAGTCAATTTGTCTATTTACTCACATTTTTGTTGAGTTCTATCAAAACTTTAGAAGGGAACATTAAATAACACAGATCAAGAACTCTGAATAACAAGGCCAGTCCTTTGAAAGCTAAATCCTAAGAAATGTGAGCTTCTCACCCAATAAGTTCCTTAACTGGAACACATAAATAAATAAAAGCATTTATGCGACACTTAACAGGTTGAGAAAAATTAGAAGCAAGTTTAAGGCAGGTACTGGATTTTTCAAAGTAGTTGACTACAGGCATTGCAAAGGATGAACATCTGTCACCTACCATGCAAGTGTAAAGTTATCGGCAGGACATTAAAGCATTACTAATACTGGCTAAAACTAGGCTGATCTTGGTTTTTTGTTTACAAAGCCTTCCTCCTCATAAGGAAAAGAGCAGAATGATATATTGCAAAATAGGTACCGTGCCAGATATACCCCAGTTATCAGAACAAAAATTTCTGCACCAACCCCCCACCCCTGTAAAGCTAACGTAAGACTAATTTGGTGTATATATATAATTGTATATATACATACACAATTGAGTATCAGATGCAGAACAGAAAGGTGGTTTTGCCTCATTTTTCCAGGGAGGAGAGAATAACTGGAAAGAACTGAAGTGCAGTCTCATGGTTGCAGACCATAGCAGTTACATACTAAGATGTCAAATATAAAAGTGACAATCCTCAACCAAAGACCCTCATTCGTAACACCAAAGTATCTGACACAGCGTATGAACTTGTGCAAGGCTATTATGGAGCCTCCCCATGAGATGCCAAAAAACCCAAACAAACCCAAATCAGGTAAAGAGATGAGTAGCTGAGATTTGCTTTAATTTTGATGACTGGTTTTATGACAATTACTGTAAGAGTCTGCATGTGCAGGTACAACTACAATTCAGTTTCTTGTCCTAGGAATAGGCAAGACATGACAAAGCAAAATGGATATGCCTACACCGCACAGCT